TAGCCCGTTTTGCTACAATTTGCTTAATTCCCTGCTGCCACGATGCTCACCAAGACACAGAGCGCTCCTGCCAGGACTTGGAAACCAGAATGGGATTTTACAGATAATAGATCCTTTTGAGGCTGTTGGAAACTGCTGCTGCTGCTGCTCTCCTTTTCTCATGCGGAGAGTTGGTTTTACTCTCTGCCTCTGATTCCTAAAGTAAAGCTTCTCACCCCCATCCTCCCTTTCATACCGCTTGCTGCTTTTTATGTGGTGTCTGGTGGGCCATGTCCTCTTTCTGCTGCTCTTTTCACCAGAGCTTTTCCCTAGAGCAGGGCTCCAGCATTTCCTAATCTGCTCAGAGATGAGGTTCCTCGATAATGGCATGGACCTCCTTTGGGGAAGGAGGAGACCTTGAGGCACTGTGCATCATGCTCTGGTCCATCCCAGCTCCATCTCAGCTACTTTCCCACCTGGCTCTACAAGTTTTCCCCCAACTGTACCGACCAGATGAGGGATGTTCTTTCTAGGGACTTTGGCTACCTTCATTTAAGTGCACAACAGGCAGAGGAAACTCCGTGTAGCCCATCTAAGCCCACCCTGGCCTTGGATAGTGTGGTCTTGCACCCACATCTCTCCCCATACCTTGTCTCCCACTTCTCTAGTGCTGGCCCCAGCAGCCAAGTGAGGGCTGCTTTAGCTCAATAATTCAACTGAAATCTAATTCTGCAACACTGGAAATGCAAATAATTTGTTCTTAGCAGGCTGATCCAGCTGTCCCCACAAGAGCTGGTGCTGATGTGAACGAGAGAGCAGGGATGCTTTGACCATACCTGCTCTCAGGCCATGTGGGCCAAGTACCCTGCATGGTACAGGGCAGTCCTGGGTATCTTGCATTTGTACTTTTTATCCCAAAGATCCTTAAAACAAAATATTCAGTGCAATCTTGTGAGGAAGGACTGAACTCAGGCTGTCCCTGAGTTGGAGTCAAGGATGCTCCAGCCTCGGCCTTCAAATGCATCTCCTGATACGATGTGTCCCATTCCAGAGGGGAGCTGAGAGAGAGCCCGTGTCCCTGCAGGACACCCTGTTCTGCCTGGGTGATCTCTGCTGCTCTTGAAGGCTTTCTACTGCTGGCTGTTAATTCAGTGTGAGCCTTTGAGTCATGGATATAATTCACATTTCATTTGGCAATGGTTTACAACATCACACAATATTCGTAGTGAAGAAGAAAAACCCATGTGTGATTACTGCAGCACAACAAACTCCAGGTAGGACCAAATGACACCCAGTTTTGCAGTGGGCCCAAGGATCACTAAATCCAGGCTGTTTTGGACTCAGAAATAGGTGGGGGAGTGAGTGCAGTGGGATTTGTTTAAAAGGGTATTAATCTTCTGGGTAACAGCCTGTTCTTCTCACCACCAGGCATGAAAAACACCCAAAAGCTTTAAGAAATTAAGCAGGTCTATCTCTAACTTCATGTGCGCTGCATTCAACTAACACAAAGAGGCAAATAGTGACAAGTAATTGGACTTTTTCAGACTTTCTAGCTTTTAATAGTCTAACATACTGTTAGTAACATAGTTGGCACTTCAAAATATATATTATTTTATTTCAACAATATTCCTTTAAATCTGTAGTTGTACTTGAAGAAAAATTACCTTCTGCCATAAGCACTGGGTTGTTGTTCAGAACACTCTGTGCTAGGTTACCTATACAGTGCAACTGGGGCCAGGCTAACATTTACAGCGGTTTCTACTGCCACTTCCTCTGTCTTAAAAACAACATTTTCCTATAAAAACACAAACAAAGTAAGTTTTACTGCATTATAAAGAAAAGCTCTAGTGTCTGTTGAGCATATTTCCACTGTCATCAGCAAAAGACATTCTCTGAGGTCCTTCTGAGTGGGTTTCACTTCGGGTCAGGGGGAAATCTGCCGTTCGGCAGCTTCTTTCTCCTTCACAGGATGAGGCTTTGAATGCAAAGAGACTTGGCCAAGAGCCAGGCACACAGAGTAGTGTTCATCTATTTTTTAGTATAACACAAAAGGAAAGTCAGCTTACATAACATGGGCCTTTGTAGTGCAGCTTTCTCTTTTAATCCGTTGCAGACAAAGGGGAGAGTTGTGTCCCCGTTTAAGACTTCATCTGGTGAAAGATGGCTGACATCCGAAGTTGCGGGAAGTCACCTGGCATCTGGCCACTGATTTCAGTGACGGGGTGGATTTTTTCTTGCACAGATGTTGGGTGTTTTGTCCAGATGTCTGACCAAACCCAACTCAAGTGCTGTACTTTGCTAAAAAGGAGTCCCTATCCTCTCGCTAAAAGCAGAATTTAAAAATCACACTGAACAAAGTGACCTAAAAACACAGCTGGATTGGTCGAACAGGTACAAAAGAATTAATCTCAACCGCAGCATCGGGATGTTTCCAGCACACAGAAGGGAGAAGGTCGATGGCTACTTCACATCAGCAGTCCTATGGGGCACCAGGTGCTGCTCCAGAGAAGGCACTGGGATTTTGGTGGGACCCTGACATTGGCAGACTTCGCCCGCTGAATTCCTTCTAGATCTGTAAGGAGGTTCACAGTGCCTTGAAAGGGCTGAGCTGCTAATCACAGTCCTGGATCTCGATGTACACAAAGAGGGTGGAGGAGGAGTACGGGTCTCCATTCTTGGTCAGAAGGTGGATGTGGCGATAACCTGGGAGCAGACACAGATGGGAAGTGGCCTTTAGTCCAGCTGGAAAAACATTTGCTAACATTGGCCAAGGCCCTGCAAAAACACCTCCCTATCTCAGAGTGTTTTACTCCCAGTACTCCACAGAAACAGGTAGGTCTGAGAGGCTTTGAGCACCAGTAATGTAATGTGCCCAGACCACTGGTGACAAGGGGATCCCTTCCCCAGAGACAGCATTAATATCTGCCCAATAAATCATTTATCATCTTACCCATACCCCAGAGAGACAACTTGTTCTGACACAAGGTGTGAT